GATATGATGCATCGCCAATACTTTCACCAGTAATGCATTTTACTGATATACAAGAAACACAACCTACTTATTTTCTTGAACAACAAACAAATAATAATCAACTCTTTCAATTTTATAATAATGATCAAAATTCGCTTTCATCGTTTGATAATGCACTAACACCTTCACAAATAGATAATATCATTAGCCTTAGTTTATCAAATATTAATGCAGATTATTTTTTCAACCTTAACTCTACTGCATGCAATAATTTTAATCCTGTCGATCGAAATCTTGGCGGAAATTCTGCTATTATCGTTAATTTTGGTACCAATTCTATTGGAAATGGCTCTTCTATGTCTTATTTGTAAATTTATGACTATATCAAAAATCAAAAAAACCATAACAAAAAAAAGTGTATATACATGTTTTGATCTTTTATGTTTATGTTTTCTATGATGTGAATGTTAAGAGGGTTTATAGGGTTTATTATAGATTCATTTTTTTCTTTTCTTTCTTTCTCTCTCTCTTTTTTTTTTTTTCTTATACATAATAGAATTAATATAATAACAACCTTACTTTAACTTTGATAAAGTAAAAAAAAAAAAAATAAAACCAAAATAAAAAAGAAACTTATAATTTACTTATAATTTGATTACATAAACTTACATATTGTTCAAAGTCTCAAACAAAAAAAAAAAAAAAAAAAAAAAATTAAAATTAATGTAATTAATGTTTGATAGTAGCTGCATTGCTTAAGAACCCTTTTTTTACAAAATTGAGAATCACAAAAAATAAAAAATAAAAACAAATTGTTATCATAGATTACAAATACGTATATTACTGTATCTGTATGATTGAAACTGTTGATCATTGATTTAAACATTGTCAAAACTTTGTGACTGATGATCACGTAAAATTTCGTCTATCCCGAAACTTGAGAATCCCTGTAATGTGATCTTCATGATAGAACACCCCAAACAAATTTCGGTACTATACATTCCCTCGGTTGAAAAGTAATAAATTATTAAAAAGGTTTAGCTAATGTAATATATTATATTAATTACTTGATTATAAATATTATGGCGCAATAGAAATTAGGCAAACAAAAAAGTGATTACTTTATTTCTTTAAGTGCTTGGAATAGAAAAAAAAAAACCGTTAATGATAGATATATTCAAAAAAAATTACAAGTTCGATTGTTCTCTCAATTACATTAACAAAAGATTATATACATATCATAATTATCTTAATAGGGTTGACTAAGGATTCGCCTCTTTAACGACCGAGTGCATTATAAATTTCATTACATTGCAGATTAGATGATGATCATGCTAAAAATATTACTCCTTATGTCATTAATTAATGTTAGATCGATTACATAAATTACATTTTCTTAATTTAGTTACGATCTACAATCCCTAATATAACTTAATATCTAGAAAATTGTGATATTCAAGTCCATGGAATGTTAAAAGTTTGAACAAGAAGTACGTGTTAATGTCATATACGTTTGTAGTAAATGCAATATTTCTTTTTATATGGATCCCAACCCGATATTTTTATTGATAGAGCATTGA